GAAGGTGGCGTACTCATGGCAATTCTGGCTTATGTGGTAAATAAGCGAGAGCGGGTTGACGAAATGGAAAGTGGCCACATCTGGTTTCGTTTGACCCTTTTGCAGTATCAAGGTTGCTTGCTCAGTAATCAACAGCTTTCCGTAAGGCGTCTCTTTGTCTAGACTGTCATCCCTCGCCCTCTTGATGCTTCTTCTGGACTTTGCGTCTGGCAGCCCGTTCTCCTCGATCTCTTTCAGGATTGTGGCCAATGCAGACTGCGAGACAAGTTTGCTTTTGCCAATGTTAGCAAGAGCCATAGCATGGCGGCTACGATTGCGCTGACAAACAGGTTGTTAAACTCTTGTGACTATTGCGCGTTGCATGTTTCGGTTCAATGCATGACTGGTTGGTTGAAGTAGCCTGTGTATGCCTGTGTCAACTGGCCATACAGGTGGCGTTGTATGTCGCAGCGAGCTCAAGAGCCCAGCCAACGCGAGCCCACAGGACCCAGCAGACAGCAAACCCAATGTCATGTCAACCAATGCGTGAAAACTGAAAAACAAACTGAACTAGCAAGGACTCTGCCTGAACAAAAAGGAATGAACAGTCACGCAGCTACTGCTCTTTTGAAGAGCCTTTCGCAATAGTTCTTCTCAAAATTTGTTCAGACCATTGTCTAGTGTTTGAAAAGATCTTCAAACGTATGCCCTTGAAACAAGTTCTTTCTCCCACTCTGAAAGACAAAACCTTGGAACATGAGAGATGTTCTTTTTAAAATCCGATTTTGATCATCCTTGATCCAATGCTTGCAGTGCAAGCTCTTTACACCCCCAAACTCCTGCAGGATGCACATGCTTCGTGTGCACCCCGGCAGGATCTACCCGGATCTACCCCAACTAATCCTAAGTGAAACTACTGGCTCTCCTCAATCATCCGCAAAGCTCTCACAAAGGCTGCCTGACAGTCTTCCTTGAAGGCAACCTTCTTGTCATTGCGGTCTCCTGCGCGCAGGAAGACCCTCCAACAGCTCGATCGGTCTGATCGATGAACCTTGCCACCGCGCCAATGAAAGGTTTGCCCAGCCGCGGGGGCCTTCTGCTTTTCCGCAGATGGCTGCTTTTCAGAGGACTGCGGTGAACCCTTCTTGCAAGATGTCCCTTTGGGAGTCTTGGGCGGCGATTGCTTCACCGCAGTCTTGGCGACCTTCTTGCAGGCCGCTTTGCCCTTGGCTTTGGGCTGCGCTTTGGCTTTGGCTTTGGGTGGATCTTCATTTGCATGGTTGTTCTTTTCCTTTTCCGCTTCAATCTTCCTGGCTTTACCCCTTGCCTGGAAGGTCCCAACCATGGCATCCAGTTGATCTTTTGGATCAGCAGGTTTCTTCTCCTCTGGCAAACTCAAACTAAACATTTCTCCCTTCTGATCCTGTTCATTGGCAGGTTTCTCTTCCTGAGAGTTATTTTCGGCTTTCTGATCTTCCAGCGCCAGCTTTGGTCCGGCTGATGCACCAGTTGGTGCTACTGCGTCGGCCAAGGCCTTGTTCTTTCGCTTCCCTGAAAACACTTCGAACCCTGGGAGACTATCTTGAGATCCGCCTTGGCCATGCATCATCTTGGAGAACGCATGCATGAGCTGCATGCAAAATGCATCAGGACTCACGGCTGAGTTGCCAGTGGGCTTTGCAGAACGCACCAAGGTGTGCGTATCACGGTATGGTACCACGTGAGCCTGGACACCCATCATTGTGACACCTTTCTCTGACGGCGCCTCCTCGGAGTAGGCTGCATTGTAGAGTTCTTGCGGTAAGTTTTCTGGCTTTGCCGGGTAGCTCTCGAGGTGGATGGAAAATTTAGGCATATGCTTGACCTTAGCCCTGAGGCTTGTCGTGAAAGCCTTCAAAATGTCATGCTTGTCCTTCGCGGAGGGTGCAACCAATCCACCTTAGAATCAAACAAACCACACATTCAACACGTGTATGTTCGGTGAAGTGAAATGACCAAGGAAGAAAATGCACACAAATTAAACAATCTGGGGCGCAATCCACTGCTGTGGAAACAATGTGCTTCACCGCACTTGTGGAAGGCAAGTGGAGCCCCAAAGAGACGCACCGCTGAACCAACGTCTCGACCTTTACCAAACTGTGACAGTCTCTTTGCAGCTGTTCAATGTCTGAGTCCGTCAAATAGCATGGAAAGCTTGCCATTTGCTGGGATGCCCTTCTTTGCTTTGCTGGTTGGCCGCCTCCCATCCCATTGGCCAGTGCTTCCCCCAGCACTCTTTTGTGCTCATGTGTCCACGGCCCGTTCATCAACACGGATGACAGATTGGCGCCCTCTCCTGCAGTCAATTTGGCTGCCTCCAGCCTGTTGGCGAAGACTTTGACTTGGGCTGCCATCAAGTCATTGAACACCTTTTCACTCACCATTTCCTTCTGGTTCAACAGGAACTTGTGCATGTGCACCAAATCTGTTTCCAAAGCCGCCGCCATGTGGGGACTTGGTGTACAGCCAAGTGGGAACCCTCTTATACCTGCCCTGTAACAGCTGAAGGAATGGTGCGAGCAATGCCCAGCAACATGAGCGGGCACAAGCCCAGCTATGTATTACATGTGCACATGAGAAAAGGTAAGTCAATCTCAAGCCGCTCAGACTACATCTCAAACATATAATACACAAGGCTTTCCATCTCACAAAAAAAAGCAAATCAAGCTGCACACCGCTGGATTTGGCGTCAAACGAACCGATCTTCACAACTAGATGGCCAAGGGAGCGCAAAGAAACCTTTAATTGACCACATTTAAGTGTCCTTACACATGCAAAAAGTGATCAAATAGAGTGACCGGCATGCATGACCCTTCTGTCGAATGCTGGGCACTCGCCTGCTAGCTGGGCACTCGCCTGCTAGCTGGGCACTCGCCCGCTAGCTGGGCACACAATGCTCGCTGGGCACACAGTGCTCGGTTTTTCATCGATGAAGTCTTCATGATCGGCTGAAAGCCTTGCAAAAACATTCAAAAACCGATGTGCTCTCAGGATACTCCTTTCTGAACGAACCATCGAGCTTCCATTGTCACTATATGAAGCTTGAAAGCAACATATGTGTGTGCTCTGACCCTACGTCTTTTTGATTTCTACAGAACATCCTGGGCATCAAACCTTCTACAGGCAAGTGAACCATCTACGCACGGCGGCGACGCTTCGGTGCCGGCTCATCCAGAGACCAAAGGGGGCCGCGACAGTCAGTGATCAAGTAAAAGGACTCCTGCTGGGTAGCTTCACCCTTTGCAACCAATTCCAGCCCCAGCACCGCCAGAGCATTGGCCGCTCGAAGGGGCGGGTCCGAAGGACAGACTGAGACATGCAGCTGGTCGCCGGTCACGGCATTGGACCATACCAGCGCAACCTTGGTCTTCTCGTCATTCATGATGACCTTCAAGGCGACAGAGCGCTTCCCACGAACCTTTCTGTGGACCATGTCCTGCCACATCGGGTTCCTCTGCGCATAGCACAAAATTTCCCTGTCGTCGTCCTTGCCCTGGATGGACTTGACGAACGTGCTTTGGAACCCCGCTTGGCCGTAATTCGAGAGGTTCAGGAACAAAGGGCGTTTCTCTTCCAAGCGTTCATTTTGCCAGTGCCCCACACGTCTCCATTCTCGTGCATGTGGCAAGTCCTTGACGGTCACGTCAGCCGCCTTGACACTGACAAAAGCCGTTTCCCAGACGACAGCCATGAGGCGTTGAGAGACACACTGCGATATAGAGCTACAACGGTCAGCTTCACTGTAGGCCGGATATGAGCGAGAATATCCCAGCTCAGGCGAGCACAAGGCCCAGCAATGTGATACTCAACCATCAATGAACACATAAGTCACTCTCTTCACTAAACCATCTCCTCTCTTCACTCTCCACTATAATAAAATACAATTCCCAGCATATAGGT